TCCACACTCTGTATCTTTTTTTTCAAAATTGGATAAAAGCAATAATTTTTGTAATAATCTGAAATTAGTTTCACGAGGTGCTTTGCCACGTTTGAAAGGCTTGGGGAAACAGTGCATACACACGGCCTCAGTCCCGTCTCATCCTCTTCATCATGCTGACAGTCTTCCCAAGAATCATCACCAGCGTGGTAGGTGCCATTAGAGATAAGAGGCTATCTGTGTTTCCACTGGAAACCTCTGTTTTCCAGACTTTATAACTCTTTTATAAATATTCACTCCAGGCAACAGTTTCATATACTATGATTCTGTGCCTCAAAATCTATACTGAACTTCACTAATGCTTTTTAGAAGTCCCAGAGATGCTTACACTACTACAAAAGAACCTAAAGAAAAAGTATGTGCAGTATGATTAGATCCAAAATACTGTGGAGTCTAGAAGCCATGTGTACATATAACTCTTTTTTAGCAATTCTATCTTTCAGAGTATAATTCAGCTGTAATAAAATGTATTGCATTATATACAGTCTATTAATTCAAATTATACATTTTTAATTTATGTTTCTATAAAGGCAACTAAATTTGAAATTATATTTTTTCAGCTAAAACTTTTGTATAGTACTCTATTATTAGCCAAGCTCCTTTTTTGTTACAGAGTTTGAGATGGAATTATATCAAAAGCCATGAGATTATATGACCTGTCTTTGAATATAATAATATCCTTAATATGTCTAAACATATTTAAGACATCTATATCTTCTATCCAGATGGTGTCTAGCACCTTGAGAGAAACCTTCAACATTCCAGATTGGTCTTCTACCTGAAAGAAAAGACATCACAAATATAATGGTTTTATTAAAGAAGAGACCAAAATATACATCTTCCCCCAGTCCGGAAAGACAGAATTGTAAAGATGGGGAAACAGAGTAAAATCACATCAACCCATTAAAATGAAGCATCTTCTTCGTAGATTCACCATTGTAATGTCTGTACTTGAGGATGTACTTGTTTGAATTGAATGCTCGTCCTCTCACACCGCTGGCCAGCTGTGTGTGCCAAGTGCTATTGAGCAGGAATCGAAGTTATATTGCCAGAATTTCCCGTGTGTTCTGGCTTTTTAGTATGCGTGTGCTCCAAGTCTAACCTCAAATGTACTTCTTCTCTTTTCTTTCCCACAGTTGCTTTGTGACAGCAAGACGGCGGTGCACGCCACAGACGGGCTGGACTGGGAGGACAAAGATGGCCCGGCGACCTTGGTGGGCAGCGTGGTTCACTCGAGGGTCCTCAACCCCCTGCGCCTGTTTGTGAAGCCGCCTGCGGTCCCGAAGCCCGGGCACCTGGCCTACGCCGACAGCTTGGACACCTTCTGGGACTGGCTGGCCAACATCACGGAGGCCCAGGAGCCCTTGGCAAGAACTAAACGGAGGCCGATAGTCAAAACGGGAAAATTTAAGAAAATGTTTGGCTGGGGTGACTTCCATTCCAACATTAAAACCGTTAAACTCAACCTGCTGATCACGGGGAAAATCGTGGACCACGGCAACGGGACCTTCAGTGTTTACTTCCGACACAACTCCACGGGCCTGGGCAACGTGTCGGTGAGCTTGGTGCCCCCCTCCAAAGTGGTGGAGTTCGAAGTGTCCCCGCAGTCCTCCCTGGAGACCAAGGAATCCAAAGCTTTCAATTGCCGCATCGAGTATGAGAAAACAGACCGGGCGAAGAAGACGGCCCTGTGCAACTTCGACCCGTCCAAGATCTGCTACCAGGAGCAGACGCAGAGCCACGTGTCCTGGCTGTGCTCCAAGCCCTTCAAGGTCATTTGCATTTACATTGCCTTTTACAGCGTCGATTACAAACTCGTGCAAAAGGTCTGCCCCGACTACAATTACCACAGTGAGACCCCTTACCTGTCCTCTGGCTGAGCCCGTGCGCAGTGATGGGAAGGAGGGACGGGTCTGTGTTGCATTAGAATGACCAAGAACCACGCCAGCTCTTCAGGGGAAAGGATCCTGTTTATAGCAGTGAACCTTAGTTCCCCAAGAGGTTTACAAATTTAAAAAAGAAAAAAAAAGAAAAGGGAATGAAACATCTTTCAATGTAAAGTGTGTTTGTTTCGATCGTAAGTACCTTAATCGGGAGAGTCAAACTGTTTATGAAGCCATCATTTTCCCGTAGGATGGTGCAGGCCTCCGAATACTGTTTCCCTAAAAGAAGCGTCAGTGGTCCCAACATGTAACGAGAAAGAATCGAATTATGCATGTGATAAACATTGCTCTTGAAATGAGCCTGCCTTGAACTATGTTTTGGACGGTTACCTTAAAAATAGCAGATTCAGTAAAGTCACTGAGAAGATTGTATTTGATAGGTGACTTGCACTTCTGACATGGGATTTTTTTTTTATTGCTGTCTTCCCCCTGCTCCCCACCCCACATCTGTGCTGTTACTGAGATGAGAGATGAAGGGGTGAAATTTGTTTCAACACTGGTGTGTGAAGTTACAGTCCAACAGTGCAACTAAATACATTATTATCGGAGCTGGAGTTGGGTGAGTGTGATATAAACAGCCCTATGTTGGTCACCGTCCTTATAATTCTCGTCTGAGTAGTAATATTGGTGTATTGGGAAAGCAAACCTGGAGGTATTGTAAGTCAATTCAACAATAATGAAGATCATGATGCTTTTAGATTCTTTTGCCAAATTCAGTGCTGTGAGAGCTTGTAAAAAATGTCATAACTCTGCATTCACCCTATAACCTATAAACTCTTCCTACTCATTTGGTGGTATGATTTTTCTGTACATGTGTAGAACAACTCTGAAATGGGGAGAAAGTGAATGTTTCTCAGGCTGCAGAAGGAGGAAACTTGCAAGTGGAAGGGGATTACAGGATTATGGATTCATTACTTCCAGCCTCCCAGGTTAAGTTCTCCTTGCATTGTTAATTATTTGAATGGAAGATTCCATGTGAAAATAGTCTATTTAAACATGACCAATTATTATTAAGTACTAATAACCAAGATACCTGACTCATCGGGCTTTTGAAAGTATTTAAAAATTAATGTTTCTACACAGTTGATGTACGTGCTGTCGTCTCTGAGGGGTGGACTGTCAGCCTGGATGGTAGAACAGAATTAGCACAGAATGAGGGGCTGGGTGACCAGTGAAAAGGGTTTTAGAACTCATAAGACTCATAGAATGGTTACCTTTTTTTACATATTAATTTTTAGGTGTTTACTCCCCCACCCCTTCTTATCTGTAAAATATCAGTTAAAATAAAGCATTAAATTGAGGACTGAAGGAAAACCAGTCCCAACCAACAAAACTGCTCCCAGCACATTGTTGAAAAAGTCAACAGCTCTGCTGTCTATTTTGCATCTCCATCCCTTTCCTTTCCTTGCTCTCTGCACCGTGTTTCATTTTTGTCTTTTTGTAAAAATTGTACTAGGCTTAGTGTGTGGTAGTGCAGACTTGAAATTTTTGCTCTGAGTTCATCAGGTGTTTTTGTAATTTTGTGGTTGGTGTGAAATATTTTGAGACACTTTTATTTTCGTCTAGAAACAAGATTAAAATACTATTTATTGTAAAATATGTGGGAACCATAGATGTATATATATATACTTAGAATTTTCTGTGTACAGAGAAAGTATGTGTACACATTTCTATGTAAATAAAAATAATTTGCTAAATCTGTCACATGACTTCAGGGTATTTTTTAAAGAATATTCTTGTTTCTTTTCCTCACAAGTATTTATTGTGTGTGCACATACATCTGTATGTTTGCATGTGTGCAAATGTGTGTGTGTCTGTGTGCGCACGCGCGCGTGATATCAACTGAGCATTAAGATTCTCCATATGTACTTATTAAACAAAGCAGCTCAACTATGGAGATTATAAAGCAGAGTGAAAGGATTATTGCTTTAAAGCTTGGCACATAGCCTGGCATCTAGTAAGAACTCCTTAAGTGTGAGTTGCCATTATAATCATATTATTATTATAACATGAAATGAGATTTAAAGCTATCTGATGTTCAAAAGTTGAGTAACATAAACGTTACATCCATACAAAGAAAAAAAACACTAAATCAGTTTA